AACCAAACTCATTGCCCTTGAGTCAAGTCCAACTCATAATGACCCCTCCTTGGGTTTCCGAGTTGGTATCTCTACGGAAGTAGATTGGCCAATCTTTCTTCTGAGAAGTGGTTGGTGGGTTTGAACCACCAGCCTTCTGGTTAGTAGTCAAATGCCTTAGGCACTATGCCACCAGAGCTCCTGCCCAACAAATAGTAGGCATTATTATTACATTTTATAAAAGAGTAAATGATGTTAAAAGAGTTGCCAAAACATATAGCTTGCAAATTAGAGAACTTGTAAATTAACATATATTGTGTTTCAGGAGTAGTTCTTGGATGTGGCAATGTGATCAGCTGCTGTTCTGGTTACCTAGTGCCACTCTGACAGGAATATACCACAAATGGGATGGCCTGAACAAACAGGAGTTTATTCTCTTACAGTTTGGAGGCTTTAAGTCCAAGTTCAAAGTGCCAGGTTCTAGGGGCTGGGTGAAAGCCCCTCAACCTTAGGTCCAGCTCTGCCTCCTGCTCTTGGCCCACTGAAGTTAGAGGCTTTTCTTCACTCAGACAGCTGCTGGCTGCTGAGGCTGACAAATCCAATATTGACAAGTAAAAAGGCACAGTGCTGATGTTACCAAACTACACAGCCGGCCATTAATTTAAGTCCATTGAAAGTCCCAAGGTCGGCAGAGCATGGCAGGCTGCTGAACAGCGACATGGCTACATGCAGGGTTCAAGGTGCCATAAGCTAGAGACCATTCCCAAAGCTGTTTCTTATATACAGGAAGCAATCCACATCCCTAAAGCAGCTACTCAGCTGCTTGTGGTAGATCCCACCATGAAGATGATTGCCAGTCTCATCATGGGAAATAACTACCACCAGCTGTGCAGCCACTCAACCAGGCCCAGCCAAGCTGACACACAAACATAACCACCATAGCTGCCAACTGAAAGTTTGGAAATTTGAGTCTGCCCAAATGTTCCTTGGAAGAAAGTCTTGGCAACCTACTTCCCCCCCGCCTCAAAAAAAATCAAACATTGGATACTTAATGGAGCACAATTCTGACACACATGGGATCCCCATGAGTCAGATTCAGGTAGACAGCAACCAGTGCTGTTGGTGGTATTTCATGATCGAGGATTTTTTTTCCTGCTGTATCTGCTGCCATTCATAAAGATGAGTTTAGCATAGTGCCTAAGGCATTTGACTGCTAACCAGAGACTGGCAGTTCAAACCCATCAGTCACTCTGCAGAAGGAAGACTGGGCAGTCTACTTCTGTAAAGATTCACCACCTTAGATACCCAATGTGGGTCACTATGAGTCAGAATCAACTTGATGATAGTGAGGTTTTTTTTTTTTAATTGGTGGAAATATTACTTCATTTCTCCTTCCGTATTAGGGCTTCTGGTGAGCAGTAGAAGGACGTGTGTGAGCATCCAAAGAAGCAGAAACCTTGAAGGTCATGAGAAATTTTTCAAACAGAGAGACGGTGGCAGCCAGAGGCTGAGATGTATGCAGGCCTAAGCCTTAGCCTTGGTGAAAGTGCTGTGGGCCTGAGGCAAGGATGCAGAATATACCACTGTCACTCAGAAGATGTTTCCCCTCCTTTGTCACCAGAGCATTTCAGGCCTGTTTTTCGTAATTTCAGTTATTTTAATAGAGTATTCTTTATCTTCTGTGTTCTTTGCACTAGAAGCTTAGTTAAACCAAACCAAACCAAACTCACTGCCAAGTCGGATCCATCTCATAGCGACCCCTCCTTGGCTTTCCAAGGTGGTATTACTATGGGAGTAGATTACCCAACGTTCCTTCCAAGGAGTGCCTGGTGGGTTTGAACTGCCAGCCTTCTGGTTAGCAGTCAAATGCCATTGATATAAGTTTTAAAAATTTACTACTTGATGATTTTTGTTACTAAAATCTAATGAGGCAAGATTTAGTTAGAACAAACAAAACATGTGGCAGTTTCTTCTGGTTGTCCCTTAAAAGCAGAGCCACCAACCCTGTCTCTACATCTGTTAAGAGAGTATATTTGCACAGGGGCTTTGGATTTTAGTTGTTATTTTTTCTGACTTTCTTTTTCTCCCTCCAGGAGGCAGATGCTTGGGGGCTAATGAGTAGACAGCTAAGGAGAAGTGAGGAAGAAAAGAACAGAGAGCATGGCAGTAGGTGGAACTCAGCCTAGTCCTGGGAGCTTTGTCTGACTTGTTTAAGCGAATGGGCTGGACAAAAAAGGCAGTGGAGCATTTTAGACAAGATCTTCATGAGAATTTTGCACCAGCAGTGCTGTCTGAAGGTCTGTTGCACGGGGGTGAGGGTGGGGGTTCTCCGCATTTCTATATAGAGAATGGTCACAAAGCACTGCAGGGAGTGTGCACAGTGATATTCTTGCAGTTGACATCCCAGCAGTCACCTGTGGGGATTTTAACGAGGGAGTAAGAGTAGGACTTGATCCTGAACACATTTGAGAAACATCTAGAAGATACTGGTACTGTTTCTTGGGGTGAAGAAAGGGGGGTACTATCCTGTGAGAGATTATGAGTCAGCAATCTTTATGTGATTTCCATGTACCCATAAGTAGTATGGGGATATTTGGGATTATAAAGTATAAAATGCATACAACATTATTCACTGCACAAGTAAGTTAGTATAAAATGCATTTTTTGATTGTGGATCACTGATGTTTAAGAACAGCCAGAGTTCAAACAAATTCAACCCACCAGAAGTGAAGTCTGCATCACATGTTCATTCCAAGCAGAGCTGCTTGTTTCTGGCAGTTAGCAGAAGTAAGTAACTTCATTGTAACTGTGGTTGATGTGGAACTTGGTAAGTGGCATCAAACCCCACTGTTATTGAGTTGATTCCGACTCATAGTGACCCTGTTAGGACAGAGTGGAACTGTCCCATAGGGTTTTCTGAGGCTGTAAATCTTTATGAAGCCAACTGCCTCATCTTTCTAACACAGAGTAGCTGGTGGATTTGAACTAGTGGCATACCTTTTGGTTAACAGCTGAATGCTCTAACTACTATACCACCAGAGCTCCCATAAGTGGCATAGATGAATTTTTAAAGTGACTGACTCATGGATAATGACTAATAATAAAATAATAAGGCTATACCTGTTGAGCAGAAGCAAAAATGATAACATTTTTATCAGGCTATGCAAAAAGGCAAAAGGAGATGATGTGATGAATACAATTTTTGCTTAAAGTTCTGCTCTCTATAGGAGCCTCTGATATGAAGAAATTATAATATAATTCATTTATATTTATAAATTAATAAGTGTCAGAAAAAAATTTCACTGAGCCATTACAATGCATCAGGCACTCTTTAATATTTATGACAATCCTTTGAAAATGGTATTCTTACTATTATCCTCATTTTACAGATAGAAACACTGAGACACAGAAAGGAGAAGTAACTTGCCTTAGGTCACATGTCCAGAAAGTAGAAATGCCAGGATTTAAGCTTACCTTTCTGCTCAGAACCCATACTTTAAATTACTACTCTATATAGATTTTTCCATAAATCTCATAACCAGAACAACAACAAAAAATTAAAAAAGAAAAAAATTAACAGCATTGTACTGAAGAAAAACATTATCACAAAACTGAGACCTAAAAAACATCAGCTCTTATGTCAGTCAATTATGTACAGTTAAACCATAATATCCTTTCTTTGTTTTATTCTCTTTTAGCGTGGAAACCAAAGATGATAACACCTGGTTTAGTAAGTAAATTATTACTTGGAATTGTGTTAATAAATCACTTGAAATTATAAACTATATGCATGAAAATCCACCATTGTTGTTGTTGTTATGTGCCCTTGAGTCACACCTGACTCAAATGGACCACTCCTTGGGTTTCCGAGGTGGTATCACTATGGAAGTAGATTGCCCAACCTTCCTTCTGAGGAGTGGCTGGTGGATTGATGCAAGTTTTAGAAACTTATCAGTCAGTGATTTTTGTCACCAAAATCTAATGAGGCAAGATTTCTTCCCAAATATCTTAACAGTTCATTATAATTTAAGACATAGTGCTTATCTATAAGGCTGAACTATAGTTGTATGTGAATGTTTACCTATTGTTCCAAAATAAATATAAAACCAAAATGAAACTCACTGCTATCAAGTTGATTCCGACTCATAGGGACCCCCTTTGGGTTTCTGAGGTGGTAAATCTTTACGGAAGTAAATTGCTCGGTCTTCCTTCTGCAGAGTAGCTGGTGGGTTTGAACCACCAACTTTCTGGTTAGCAGTCAAATGCATTAGGCACTATGCCACCAGGTTTTTAAAAATTCTTAACTTTCTGCTTTTCAGATCTGTTGTCTTCTTGTTCTTTTTTTCTTTTCTTGTTTTTCATTTATTTTTCTTCTTGTCCTTTTTAGAACGAAGTATATATTTCTGCTAGGTTTGACAAATAGACCAATACTTCTGATCCAGGAATATGTGCTTGAAAATTGTTTGCTATGTGGATGAGTTCTGGTAGTGTAGTGCCTAGGCCACTTGACTGCTAACCAGAAGGCTGGTGGTTCGAATCCACCAGCCACTCCTCGGAAGGAAAGTTGGGCAATCTGCTTCCATAGTAATACTGCTTTGGATACCCAAGGAGGGGTTGCTATGAGTTGGGTCCGACTCGATGGCACTTAACAACAACAACAACATATGGATGAGTAGGGAATGTAGTAGACATTTCTCATTCCTTTTGGATGTTTGCCCTCTGAACCTCATTCCAATTTTGGGAGAATTCCCATGTCTTAGAAGTCTTGAGGGGAGACAGAGACTGCTTCCCAGAAGAGAAACTGAAGCCAGACACTGGCTTTCCCAGCCTCCCCTGCAGCTGGGGCTTGGGCACATGATGCAGGATCCACCAAACAGAGGCACCTATCCCAGGGGATCCTGTGGCATATAAAAGGGGATCCTCTGTGGAAGCAAATGTGAGTTTGACAAAACTTGTTATCAAGGAAATGTATTCCATAATGTCATACATTTGTGAAAACACTTAAATACTATTTAAGTCACCTGAGCATAGCTTGAACATCCTGGAAGGCTGCTGATGAAGTTGTGCACATCATCCACAGTCCATTTCTGAATATCTTCATCCAAAGAAAGACGTTCCCCAGCTGTAACCAGTTTATGTGCTCCTTGAAAAAGAAAAGGAAATAATTTTATGTTATAATTTTTAAGGGAAAGGGAAACTGAGAGTACAGTTTTATGTGGAGTTATATTCATTTCCTTGTACTTTCCAGAGTGATCCCTTTCTGTAGATTTACCTGTAAATTCCCTAAAATATATTAAAAGTTACTAGGAGATTTTTTTCCCCCTTAAACTTAGCTGCTTTCTTTCTATGAAAGAATCTTTTGAGATAGCATTATTGCAAGTAGAGAAAGAAGTTTCATATCTATCCCAAATCCACTGTCACAGAGTCTATTTCAAACCAACAGTGATCCTATAGGACAGAGTGGAATTGCCCCCCAAAGTTTCCAAGGCTGTAAATCTTTATGGGAGAAGACTACCACATCTTTCTCCCATGGAGCAGCTGGTAGGTTTAAATCTCCAACCTTCTGGTTAGCAGTCAAATGTTTTAACCACTATGCCACCAGAACTCCTTCAGGTCTACTCCAGCTTCTCTCAAATTACTATAGAAATGCCCTGTAGATTTCATTCTGCATATTAATGCTGCCATGTTCTATGTTATTATGTGGTTTATCAAGTTCTCTAGCTGAAGCAAGAATTTAGTTTCATCTTCAAAATGCACATTAACACTTTATAGGAAAGAAGTTCGTATGATGGCTAGATTGTTGTTGTTATGTGCCGTCGAGTCTGTAGACATAGACAAAAATCACTGTACTTTAAAACATTTTTAAACATTTAAATCTAAAGAAGTTCTAGAAAATTTCAATGTGGGTTTTTTTTGGGGGGAAGGGATAGTGAATTAATATTTTTTGGTTAGACAGTATCACAACAGTCATGGGTCCTGAAGGTTAATGCCTCTATTCAATTGTCAATTTTTTTCAATACTTAGACACAGAGGAGATAAAACTCATACTTTTAAGCAAGAAGCTCCTTTATTAATCCCCCCCCCTTTTTTTTTAAATTATGATTTGGGTGAAAATTTACAGAGTAAATTCACTTTCTGTACAGCAGTTCACATACACTTTGTCTCATGACATTGACTACAATTTCCCACAATGCAACAGCTCCCCTCCCACTTCCTCCTAGTAGTTACCTCTTCCCTGTGTCCATCCCTCTATGCACTCCTGCTTCCTGAGCTGTCCCCTACGCATGAACAGCCCTTCTTTCTCCCATGATTGTTCTCTCCAAGGAGCATATCTACTTCAGGTAAATGTTTAACTCATATGCCTGTCTTTTGTTTGGCTGGAAGCCACAGGTGTGGGTTCAATTCCAGAAATGAAGGGGTAAATGCTTCAATAGTCTCATGCTGTATTAGACCAGCAAACCTCTGTTTTTTTTTTTTTTTTCCAAATGATTTTGAGTTTTGTTCCACATTGTTCTCCCTTTCTATCCAGGATCTCCTACATAGATCCCTCTCTGAGTGGTTGACAGTGGTAGCCAGGCACCATCTAGTTTTTCTGGTCTCATAGTCATATAGGCTATGGATTGCATGGTGTACCAGTCACTAGGACGAAGTGTTTCCATGAATTTTGGTTTTCTTCATTCTTCTTTGTTCTGGACGAGGAGAGACCCATCGTTGCATCTAGATGGTTGCTTGCAAGCTTTTAAGATCCCAGTCACTACTCGCCAAAGTAGGAGGTGCAACAATGTTTTGTGTAGTATGTTATGCCAATTGAGCTTGATGTCCTTTGTGACTATGGTTGGTCCCAAGCCCACAGGTTCAACTACTAGTCCCTCTGTGTAGCTGGCTGTGACCAAGAAGTGACTACAACCTTGTCCCTTGTCAGGTCTACTATACACCTGGGAATTCTTACAGATCATACAAATATGCTTATAGGACCATTGTCTGCCAATCCTATACATGGTCTTGGGTACACTCCCCGAAGAAACTCCTTTATTCTGTTGATAAAACTAATATCATATTAAATGAAAATTTGAATAAAAACATCTGATGAGTTTCTTTATATTTCCTCATATTGTACTATCCTACCTTTTACTGAAAGTCCTCTATACAGCAATATATATTTAGTTTCATTGATATAGCTTGTTGGAACTAACTTAAAGTGACTTCAGTATACTGGGCCTGCAGGCTTAAGATATCAAGCTCAACTGGCATAACACACTACACAAAAACATTTTTTTACATCCTACTTTGGTAAGAAATGACTGGGGTATTAAAAGCTTGTGAGAAGCCATCTAAGATGAACAATTGGTCTCTTCTCATCTGGAGCAAAAAAGAATGAAGTAAACCAAAGACATATGGAAACAATTAGTCCAAGGGACTAGTAGATCATTGGAATCTCAGCCTACATGACCCTGAGACCAGAAGAACTAGATGGTACCCAGCTATTCCTGTTAAACATTTGGACAGGGATAAAAAAAAAAGGTAGGTCCTAGATAGAGTGGGGGAAAAATGAGGAATAAAACTCAAAATTGTAAAAAAGACCAGGCTCACTGGTCTGATAGAGAGTAGTGAAACCCCTGAGACTGTGGTCCCTAATTACCTTTCAGACCTGGAATTGAACTCACTCTCGTGACTTCTAGCCAAACAATGTTGTTGTTGTTGTTGTTGTTGTTTGCCGTCGAGTCGGCCCCGACTCATAGCGACCCCTCCTTGGATTTCCGAGGCAGTATCACTACGGAAGTAGGATTGCCCAACCTTCCTTCCGAGGATAGACAGGCATATAAGGGGAACATTTATACCAGGTAGGTACATTCCTTAGAACAATCACTCATTGGAGATTAGAAGGGCAGTATTTGCACAGGGAGATAGCTCAGAGATCAGGAATGCATAGGAAAGAAGGACACAGGGAAAAGGTAACCACAGGAAGGAAGTGGGAAGAGAGCTGTTACATTATGGGGGTTGCAGTCAATGTCATGAAACAAAATGTGTATGAACTATTGAATGGAAAACAAATTTGCTCTGTAAACTTTTACCCAAATCACCATTGAAAATAAATAAATAAAGTGACTTTGATAAGGTTACATCATTATAGTCAGGCTTAAGAAAAAGTATGATAAAAAGAGACATGCTTGTTAGAGCTCACTATGTAATAATTTTTTGTCAACTTGTGGTTAATGATGATCTACTTTTGGCCCCAGACACCCACCTGGTAGAGTCAATGGAAGACCTGGATTCTTTTCATTGCAAGTTGCAAAAGAATGCTCTGAGACCTTCTTCCCACTGTCCCAGGTCTTTGCTTCCAGGGAGGTGTTGTGAGCTGACCAGGGTGTTCCATGGCTGGGCTGGAGTTCTCCACAGATTTTGGTAGGAGCTGTGGTTGGCTTTTCATTGGTTTCCCTTGACTTCTGATTGTTGAGTGCTTCAGTCTCAGGATCTTTTGCAAACTCATCCTCTTCATAGGGAGTTACATGAGTCTGGCCCAGGATTTTAAATTCTGCTTGACTTTTGGAACTATCAGTGTCATCATCTAGAACTTTCTGATTCCCTGTACCTCTCCTGAGATGATGACATTTCTGCTCCCAGCTCTCTAGAAAGTGTAGACCAGTTGCCGTTAGCATGGAGTTGCCCTGAAGGTTTCTCAAGGTGCTTCTGTGGAAAAGTAGGTCATTGGCAGGGAGCATGCTTCTGCCATGGTAGGTGGCTGGGCCTGCTGGGACATTGGAGCCATAGAAGAATGGTAGCCCTAAACCCACCAGCCCCTTGGGATTAACTTTTTCCATTCTCCTTTGCTGATAAATGGCATACATTTCCATTTCTGTCCTAAAAACAAAATAATATTTCTTATACAACCCAAGAAAACCATTAGAAATATAATTTTGATGGCCCTCTGCCTTCCCTAAAACAGCACCTCTGCTCCTTCTATGAATCCTCATATGCTTTAGTATTCTAGGTGGAAATATGAATTCCCCACACAGCCTCTGGGGAGCAGAGTTTTCAGTAAGATCTGAGGGTGAAAATTTGGCTGAATTTCACAACAGAAGTTCAAGGCTGGTCTTTAGAGTTTTTAGTTTTAATCCAAACCAAACCAAACTCACTGCTGTTGAGTCGGATCTGACTCATAGTGATCCCTCCTTGGGTTTCAGAGGTGGTATCACTACGGAAGTAGATTGCCCAATCTTCCTTCCAAGGAGTGGCTGGTGGGTTTGAACTGCTAGCCTTCTGGTTAGTGGTCAAATTTAGTAAAGATGGAGATAATGCAACACAGGGTAATTTCTGGCCAGAGATTAGCCCTGAAAAATCTAAAATTCTGGGAAGAGGTTTTCTAAATCTTGAAGTATTATCTGAGTGGAATTCAAGAAAGGCAATAAATCATGCAAGTCTCAGCTGTTATAAATCAATCCAATATAAATCATTGGGTGTCTGCCCTATTTATAGGAGTAGAGGGATGAGGGAGGACTTGGTGTTTTTTCTTGATTCACTTTGTTTAAGGGTCATCTGGACCCCAGAGGGTTCAGTGATGAATAAACTGACCCTGATGCCTTTCCTCGCCCTTGGGTAATACCCTTGTATTATGGCCATTATTGCTGTGTTTTTCTTTCTCCTGGTCAGTACAGCTGAGCAGATCTAATCAAATCATACTACTGATGGGCTGACATGAAGCTGTGTGGGCTCTGATGGTACAGTCTGAAGTGGGGTTGGCAAACTTGGCTCAAAGATAGGGCAGAATAAGAATCATTTAAGACAGGAGGGTCAATATGAATTTCAAAAGAATCACAACTGGATACTTTAGTTAAGGATACAATTTAAACTGTGTATACAATTTAACTGTGTTAAATACAATTCAAACTGTGTGTAATCTGTAGACTAAACAGGAGCTCTGGTGGTATAGTGCCTCAGGCATTTGACTGCTAATCAGAAGGCTGGTAGTTCAAACCCACCAGCCACTTCTTGGAAGGAAGATTGGGCAATCTACTACTAGTAGCTTTACTGTGTGATTTCTGATGTTGCTTTTATCCTTAACTAACTGGTGCACATTTTTGCATGGCATTTTTTTTCTCATCTTCCCGAAATACTTTTTGCAAGTAATCAGTGTGCATATTATAAATATGAAATAAATGAATACATGAACAAGTGAATGAATAGAAAAATAAAGAAAATGATGCTATTACCTGGCAGTATGATGCCTTTGAGTCATTTCATTCCTTCTAGTCATTGCTTTTATGGATTCAGGTCGTAAAATGTCCCAACCTTAAAAAAGAATACCACCAATCGCACAAACAGATGAATAGCATGCATTTGAAAATAAAATAAAATATGATAGTATAATAAAATATCTTCCAAAAGCTATCAGTTGAACACTATGTGGGAAATAGTATCAGATCACTGATGGTCAGCATTTTAGGCTCACTTTGGAAATGAATGATAAACACTAGACAATTTTGTTTCTTTCCTTATTGGTGTTATGATTTTGCCATGCCATTTTCCTGCCATGTTTCTAAAGAAAATCTCTTGCTGTTGATGG